CAGCCCTGTGAGACTGTGCCCTCTCACAGTCTGGGACCCCTCGGGAGATAACCACCTGCTGGCTTAGGCCCGCTCCTCTGGTGGCAGAGGGCAGGCCCAATCCCGCAGTGTCTGCCCCATCTCCTCCTTAGTTCTGCACCACCCCCTAGTGGTCAGCACACGTCATAGGGAGCAACTGAACTCCAAAGGGGACACTGCATATTAGCCTTTTATATATATGTACTAGAAGCCCAGTGCACAAAAATTTGTGCACTGGGGGGGGAGGGGCGGGGGGAGTCCCTCAGCCCTGTGAGACTGTGCCCTCTCACAGTCTGGGACCCCTCGGGAGATAACCAGCACCACCCCCTAGTGGTCAGCACACGTCATAGGGAGCAACTGAACTCCAAAGGGGACACTGCATATTAGCCTTTTATATATATGTACTAGAAGCCCAGTGCACAAAAATTTGTGCACTGGGGGGGGAGGGGCGGGGGGAGTCCCTCAGCCCTGTGAGACTGTGCCCTCTCACAGTCTGGGACCCCTCGGGAGATAACCACCTGCTGGCTTAGGCCCGCTCCTCTGGTGGCAGAGGGCAGGCCCAATCCCGCAGTGTCTGCCCCATCTCCTCCGGTTGCAGATGGCAGGCCCGGATCCTGAGCTGGGTTGGGCGGCCGCTCAGATAGTGCTGCCGCCCGCCCAGCACACCCCACACATGACAGGCCCCGAACCCGGGCTGGGGATCACACTCCCACCCCACACACGGCAGGCCAGGATCTCGCGCTGGGGCAGCCAGCGGCTAGGGATCGCGCTGCCACCAGCCCCAGGTGGGGCAGTGCAGCAGGATTTGCCTGCAGTATGCAAATTAGCCGCCATCTTTGTTGGCAGTTAATTTGCATATCACGCTGATTAGCCGGTGGGAGGTGTGGTGAAGGTACGGTCAATTACCATGTTTGTCTATTTTTAGATAGGATAGAAGATCATTGTTGCCCAGCCTGAGTGGCTCAGTTGGTTGAGTGTCGTCCCATGCACTGAAAGGTTGACAATTTCATTCCTGGCACATCTGTGGGTTGTGGGTTTGATCTCCAGTTGGAAAACATACAGATGGCAACTGATCGATGTTTCTCTCACATTAATGTTTCTCTGTCTCCCCTCCCCCCCACCTTCCTCTCTCTAAGCATGTCTTCAGTGAGGTTTAAAAAAATAAAAATCATTGTCACCTCAGTTTTTTATTTCATCCTCAAAACTATTTGTAACATTACCTTTAGTAATACTTAGTAAAATTATTTAATCAGGAGTTAAAACATGAAATACGAAACTTTTTAAAAAAGCTAAGCACCTAATTTCCAAGAGGATATGCCTAACATTTATTATCTTTTTAAAGTCCTATTTAAAAACCCTTATCACCCGAAACCGGTTTGGCTCAGTGGATAGAGCGTCGGCTTGCAGACTGAAGGGTCCCAGGTTCGATTGCGGTCAAGGGCATGTACCTGGGTTGCGGGCACATCCCCAGTAGGAGATGTGCAGGAGGCGGCTGATCGATGTTTCTCTCTCATCGATGTTTCTAACTATCTCTCTCCTTTCCTCTCTGTAAAAAATCAATAAAATATATTTTTAAAAAAACCCTTATCAGAGTTTCTAATCCACTTAGATTGGTTTGAATTAGGAGGGTTAAACCTTGTTCCAGAAATGCTATAGCAATATGATAGTATGTATCAATAACTTTATAAAAGGTCCTTATCCTTTGGTCCAATAATTGTACTTTTAAAAGCCTGAGAAAAAATTTAATGCAAAGGTTTATGCATTATTTATATTCGTACAGTATTAATTACAGCAAAAACTAGAACCACCTCTATGTCCACTAAAGAATGATTAAATTATGGGACCTCACAATGAAGTATTACATGGCCATTAAAGTTGTTTAAGAATAACAAGAGAAAACATTCTCAATATTTCGTGAAAAAAGGCAAGATATAAAATGTTGAGACTACATCTCAACCTGTATCTCCGTGTGTGTCTATCTGAAGTATATATTTTCACTCTCTTGATTTTTAAAAGAACTACTCACTTAAAGTTGTAATTTTTCAAAGATTGTATAAAATAATTATCTTCTATCCATCTGCTATTTAATAATTCTAGTAACACTGAACAGCATTTTGGCCACATAGCATGCCATTTTCCCAAATATTCCAACAGCTTACTTACTTGGGATTTTCCCAAATACACCTACAGCAGCACTGTACTCGTTTTCAAACCCACTAAACTACCACAAATATTTTAATATGTGTGTGTGTGTGTGTGTTACTGATTTCAGAGAGGGAGAGAGGGATAGAAACATGCCCGAAACCCAGGTATGTGCCCCAAACCAGAATGGAACCATGATCTCCTGGTACGTGGATCAATGCTCAACCACTGGGCCACACTGGCTGGGCTTCCCCACGAGTCTTTTACATGTGGATACATCTATACTAATAAAAGGGTAATATGCTAATTAGACTGGGAGACCTTCCAGACATCCTTTCCGGACAAAACCATGAGCATAATATGCAAATCGACCGAACAGCCGAACAATGCTATGATACCCACTGGCACGAGGCCAGCCAAGGCGGGTGCAATGTGATTGGTTGGGGGCCCAGCCATCACCCCGGCCATCACCCCATGACTGCCCCACAGAGGCAGGTCCAGGCCACTGACTGGCAGGCTGCGGTGGGTGGATGGGACCTCCTTCTACAAGCGAAACTGAGTCCCAGGTGCCAGCATCCAGAGGGAAGCCCAGGTCCAGGGTGCCGGCAGCTGGAGGGAAGGAAGGCCTACTCTTGCACAAATTTCCTGTATCGGGACTCTAGTATCACAAAAGAGGAGGCTACTTCTTCACATATAAACCTAGTTTCATTTTACAAATACAATTTAAAATAGCCAGTTTAACTAAGGTTAGAGATTTCAGCATCTGTTACAATGATAAACATTTGTAACTGACTGTACCTGGATTTAATACCTAGGAGCTAACAAGATTCTGAAACTACTAGAAACAAAGATAACACAATGTTTTCTCCTGCCTTACCTATGGACCCTAGAAACAAATACCAAACCAAATGTTAACTTCAGGGATACACTGCTGTCAAACTATCAATGGACCAGTGTGCAGAGAATCAACCTATGCTCTACCTTCCCTCTTCCCAAACAGGTGTTTGCTTTAAGTAGAATTAGTAGAATAGTTCTCAAAGAAATTTGTTTCCCTAAATATAATGCATTGTTGACAAGAATTTTCACTAATCAGCATTCAATGTCTGCAGAAGTTCAAGACAAAAGCAATAAATAGTCCCACTCATTCCCTATTGACAAAAACCCTTCCAAAACAAAGAAAATTGCACCTTTTCCTAAATAAAATGCTATTTTAAGATATTTAAATTAAGTAATCCTAAATTGTATTTGCCTTGGTCAGAAGCTCACAATGCAATAAAAGCAAAATTCAAGTTCAGTAGAATACAACTTCTCTGAAGAAATAAGTACAATAATACATCACAGTGCAAGGTTTTTCTATGGGAACTAGTTTCATTGTACAGAGAGTACAAAAACACTCCCAAAGTTGTCTATTTTAATGTGCTATATATCAGATATATTAATGCTGCATTAAAGGTGGTTATGTGGTCATAAAGAGAGAAATCAGTCTCTCTCCTTTTTTTTGTAAATACTCAAATTTATGTTGATTTCCTGTATACTATATTATACACTCAATAGTAATCTCTGTCCAAATCCAAAGGGTATTTTTTAAACTTCAAAGGCATTCTGGGATAAACATAAAAGGCTGATACTAAACTATGTGCTCCAGAAAAGTGTTGGAGGGGTAGTAGAGAAGAAAATTATTGACAAATGAACTCTTATTAGGTGTTTTCAAATTCAGATATGTACCTTTTAATATAATCAGAGTGCTAATTTTTTAAACTGCTTAAAATATACAAGTCCAATATACTTTTAATGCAAAAAGTGCAAAAATCATAACCAAGGCATTCAAGTATTTCTAATGCATCAACACAAATTCTATTTAAATCATAGCAGGCCAAATCATTCTACCTTTTCCCAAGAAAACAAAAATTATCTCAGCTAATTATAGATGCTTTTCCTTAAAAACTTCTAACAACTTGAAACCTATATGACCCTATTAACCAATGTCACCCCAATAAATTTAATTTTTTTTTAAGTTCAACAAATTAAGTCATTCAATAGCTCTTCTAATCCTTTTTAAAATACTGCAGCTCATTCAAGTCTTAATTGAGACTGGCAAACAGAAGGGCATAGAGTGGCATCTCTACAATGACTTGCACTTTATATAAAATTTGAAAAAAATAGACATTTTAAAAAAAATTCAGGAACAAAACAGATCAACTGCCTTTGAAAAACAAAAAAGCCAAAGAGAAGAAAATGAAGAGACCAGTTACAACTTATAAAAATAGGCAAATAGGCTTCGGCATTATCAAAATAGATTTCAGAAGATATTGTGAATAGATTCATTTCATTTCTTAGGAAATAGTGGCAAGCAACTGCACTCATTTCCTGTTCAGGTTCAATTCAAATTTCTGCCATTTCCTTTTAGAGGAAATACTACAGCAACACAGGGCAGAAGGTCTGTAATACTGTACTACCACCAAATCTAAAAAAGAAAACTACCCAGAACTGGGTTTTGACATTCAAGATGAACAATCAGCTTTTTATTGTGCTTTTACACCTTCGATAATTTTGCTTCCTTAAAAAAAGAAGAAGAAAAGAAAACTAAAGACCAATGCCAAAAAGCCCATTTTGAAGAGTCATGGCCTAGCAGTAAAATCATTTCTAAGAGTTTTAATGTAGTAGACAAACACAATACTACTTACAAGGAAATCAGAGCACTTAACTGGAATTTTTACTGTGCAAGAGCATGTCACTGTGTCCTCAGTAATTATACTTATGCAGTGAGAGCTGCAGCATTAAGACAGACAATATATAGGTAGCAGGGTGGCTGCGACATTGCCAGATAATTAAGCCTCCCCGAGGGTAGGTGGTTTCTGGAAGGCATAGGCCCTAAGCGCCCAAGATCCTTCAACCCCTCTCCGAGGCGCGTGCTTTGGCAAAAGCACCGTCTCCGAAAGGGACAGGGTAGAGGAAAACGGTTCAAAAAGGAAGGAGAGCCTGGGGACAGGGGCTCCAAGTGGGTACGGAGCGCTAGGAGCCTGCAGAGGTTACCGAGGGACCCACTGCAAAGGCTAGTTGGTGGGGCCTGCCGGAGAAAAGGCCTCGCCCAGGAGTTGCAACCCACTCTTTCTCCAGTGCGCAGCGCTCGGCCTGGGGGAGGGGGAGGAGGGAAACAGCTGCCAGGGAGCCGAGAGCCCGACCCGGCCCGCTCACCGTGAGGGTGTCGTCTATGTAGAGGGGAATCTGCCTCCTCTCGAAGGGGAACTCCTCTTCCCCGTCCCTGCACACTGCCACCAGTCGCGCCATCGTCCCCGACGCTGCCGTTGCCACCGTCACCACCTCCTCCCAGCTGCTGCCGCCGCTGCTGCT